GATCCTCTTCCCATTTTTTAATTGGCTTATGTGCTTTTTGTTTGTTCAGGTATGTGAGCTCTTTATATAATTAGGATGTTAACCCCTTATCACATATGTCATTTAGGAATATATTCTCCCATACTGTAGGATGTCTTTTTGTTCTACTGATGGTGTCCTTTGCTGTACAGAAGCTTTTTCGTTTGACATAGTCCCACTTGTTCATTTTTATTTTGTTTCGCTTCCCCGAAGAGATATGTTCATGAAGAAGTTGCTCATGTTTATGTCCAAGAGATTTTTGCCTATGTTTTTTTCTAAGAGTTTTATGGTTTCATGACTTACATTCAGGTCTTTGATCCATATTGAGTTTACGTTTGTGTATGGGGTTAGACAATGATCCATTTTAATTCTCTTATATGTAGCTGTCCAGTTTTGCCAACACCAGCTGTTGAAGAGGCTGTCATTTCCCCACTCTATATCCATGGCTCCTTTATCATATATTAATTGACTATATATGCTTGGGTTTATATCTGGGCTCTCTAGTCTGTTCCATTGGTCTATGGTTCTGTTCTTGTGCCAGTGCCAAATTGTCTTGATTAGTGTAATTTTGGAGTAGAGCTTGAAGTCAGGGAGCATAATTCCCCCTGCTTTATTCTTCCTTCTCAGTATTTCTTTGGCTATTTGGGGTCTTTTGTGGTTCCATATGAAATTTAGAACTATTTGCTCTAGTTCATTGAAGAATGCTGTTGGTATTTTGATAGGGATTGCATTGAATATGTAGATTGCTTTAGGTAGGATGGCCATTTTGACAATATTAATTCTTCCTATCCATGAGCATGGGATGTGTTTCCATTTATTGGTATCTTCTTTAATTTCTCTCATGAGTGTCTTGTAGTTTTCAGAGTATAAGTCTTTTACTTCCTTGGTTAGGTTTATTCCTAGGTATTTTATTCTTTTTGATGCAGTTGTGAATGGAATTCTTTTCCTTATTTCTCTTTCTGCTAGTTCATTGTTAAGTGTATGGGAATGCAACAGATTTCTGTGTATTAATTTTGTGTCCTCCAACTTTACTGAATTCCAATATTAGTTCTAACAGTTTTGGAGTGGATTCTTTAGGGTCTTTTATGTACAATATCATGTCATCTGCAAACAGGGACAGTTTAACTTCTTTCTTACCAATCTGGATGCCTTTAATTTCTTTGTGTTGTTTGATTGCCATGCCTAGAACTTCCAGTACTATGTTGAATAGAAGTGGGAAGAGTGGGCATCCTTGTCTTGTTTCTGATCTTACTGGAAAAGTTTTCAGCTTCTCACTGTTAAGTATAGTGTCAGCTGTGGGTTTGTCATATATGGCCTTTATTATGTTGAGGTACTTGCCCTCAGTACCCATTTTGTTGAGAGTTTTTATTATGAATGGATGTTGAATTTTGTCAAATACTTTTTCAGCATCTAACAAGATGATCATTTGGTTTTTGTCCTTTTTGTTGATGTGGTGGATGATGATGATAGATTTTTCAATATTGTACCATGCTTGCATCCCTGGAATAAATCCTACTTTATCATGATAGATTATCTTTTTGATGTATTTTTGAATTCAGTTTGCTGATATTTTGTTGAGCATTTTTACATCTATGTTTATCAAGGATATTGCTCCATAATTTTCTTGTTTTGTGGTGTCTTTGCCTGGTTTTGTTCTTAGAGTGATGCTGGCCTCATAACATGAGTTTGGAAGTATTCCCTTCTCTTCTGCTTTTTGGAAAACTTTTAGGAGGATGGGTATTATGTCTTCACTAGATGATTGATAAAATTCAGCAGTGAAGCCGTCTGGTCCAGTAGTTTTGTTTGTAGGTAGTTTTTTGATTACCAATTCAATTTCATTGCTGGTAGTTAGTCTGTTCAGATTTTCTGTTTCTTCCTGGGTCAGCCTTGGAAGAATGTTTTTCTAGAAAGTTATCCATTTCTTCTATCTTTTCCAGATTTTTAGCATATAATTTTTCATAGTATTCTCTAATAATTCTTTGTATTTCTGAGGTGTCTGTAGTGTGGTGTCTTTGTATTTCCTTTCTCATTTCTGATTCTGTTTATGTGTGTAGACTCTCTTTTTTCTCAATAAGTCTGGCTAGGGGTTTATCTGTTTTGTTTATTTTCTCAAAGAAGCATCTCCTGCTTTCATTGATTCTGTTGTTTTATTCTTCTCAATTTCATTTATTTCTGCTCTCATCTTTATTATGTCCCTCCTTCTGACTTTGAGCCTCATTTGTTCTTCTTTTTCTAGTTTGTTTGTGAGTTTAGATTGTTCATATGGGATTGTTCTTCTTGCCTGAGGTAGGTCTGTATTGCCATATACTTCCCTCTTAGCATGGCCTTTGCTGCGTCCCACAGATTTTGCAGTGTTGAATTATTGTTGTCATTTGTCTCCATATATTGCTTGATTTCTGTTTTTATTTGGTCCTTGATCCATTGAATATTTAGGAACATGTTGTTAAGCCTCCATGTGTTTGTCGGCTTTTTTATTTTCTTTGTGTATTTTATTTCTAGTTTCATACCTTTGTGGTCTGAGAAGCTGGTTGGTACAATTTCAATCTTTTTGAATTTACTGAGGCTCTTTTTGTGGCCTAGTATATAATCTATTCTTGAAAATGTTCCATGTGCACTTGAGAAGAATGTTTATCCTGTTGCTTGTGGATGGAGTGTTCTGTAGATGTCCATTAGGTCCATCTGTTCTAATATGTTGTTCAATGCCTCTGTCTCCTTATTTACTTTCTGTCTGGTTGATCTGTTCTTTGTAGTGAGTGGAGTGTTGAAGTCTACTAGAATGAATACATTACATTCTATTTCCCCTTTTAATTCTGTTAGTATTTTTTTCACATATGTAGGTGCTCCTGTGTTGGGTGCATAGATATTTATAATGGTTATATCTTCCTGTTGGACTGACCCATTTATCATTATGTAATGTCCTTCTTTGTCTCTTGTGATCTTTGTTTTAAAGTCTATTTTGTCTGACACAAGTACTGCCACACCTGCTTTTTTCTCCCTATTGCTTGCATATAATATCTTTTTCTATCCCTTCACTTGTAGTCTGTTTATGTCTGGGTTTGAAGTGAGTCTCTTATAGGTAGCATACAGTTGGGTCTTTTTTTTTCATGCATTCAGTGACTCTATGTCTTTTGATTTGTGCATTGAGACCATTTACTTTTAGGGTAATTATCGATAGGTATGTACTTACTGCCATTGCAGGCTTTACATTCGTGGTTACCAAGATTCCAGGTTAACTTCCTTAACTATATAAGAGTCTAACTTTACTTACTTAGTATGCTATTACAAACACAATCTAAAGGTTCTTTTTTTTCCTCTCCTTTTCTTCCTCCCTCATTCTTTATATATTAAGTATTATATACTCTACTCTTTTTCTATCCCTTTTTATTACCTCTGGTGACAGCTGTTTAACCTTGGGAACACTGTCATCTATAGCAGTCACTCCAAAATAGACTGTAGAGATGGTTTGTGGGAGGTAAATCTCTCAGCTTTTGCTTATCTGGAAATTGCTTTATCCCTCCTTCAAATTTAAATGATAATCTTGCCGGATAGCGTATTCTTGGTTTGAGGCCCTTCTGCTTCATTGTAGTAAATATATCATGCCACTCCTTTCTGGCCTGTAAGGTTTCTCCTGAGAAGTCTGATGATAGCCTGATGGGTTTTCCTTTGTATGTGATCTTATTTCTCTCTGGCTGCTTTTAATATGCTGTCCTTATCTTTGATCTTTGCCATTTTAATCATTGTATGTCTTGGTGTTGTCCTCCTTGAGTCCCTTGTCTTGGGAGTTCTGTGCACCTCCATGGCCTGAGAAACTGTCTCATTCTCCAGATTGGGGAAGTTTTCAGCAATTACTTCCTCAAAGACACTTTCTGTCCCTTTTTTTCTCTCCTCTTCTTCTGATACCCTGGTAATACGAATATTGTTCCATTTGGACTGGTCACACATTTCTTTCAGTATTCTTTCATTCCTAGAGATCCTTTTTTCTCTTTGTACTTCAGCTTCTTTGTATTCCTCTTTTCTAATTTCTGTTTCATTTGTCATCTCCTCCACCATATCTAATCTGCTTTTAATACCTTCCATTGTGTTTGTCAGCGATTGGATTTCCATCCTAAATGCGTTCCTGAGTTCTTGAATATTTTTCTGTACCTCCAGGAGCATGTTTATGATTTTTAATTTGAAGTCTTTTTCTTTGATATTTATTAGTTCAGTCTCACTCAACCCTTTTTTCTGGTGTTGAGATTTTGCTTTGTACCAGTTTCCTTTGACATTTCATAATTTGTCTGTGGTGCCCTCTAGTGCCTAGAAGCTCTACTGGGGCCGCTCAGCCCCTGGAGCAATGTCAGGGGTTGCATGGTAGTGGTGCTGGTGCCTGTGGGGGAGAAAGAGCTGTTTTTTGCTTCCCAGCTGCTATGCCTGTCTCCTCTGCCAGAACCAGTGGGCCAGACACCCAGGTGTAAGCCTCTATGCTTTGCATTTGTAGCAGCCGTAGGCGGGGCTTCCCTCTGACTGGCCTGACGCCAGCGCAGGGTTTGCCCAGTTTGCAAGCCAGGTGCGGGCTGGCTGGGTGGAAGGCACAGCAGGCTGCATATCACAGTGAGGGGCCTTTGATCTGCATAGCCAGCCAGGAGGATGGAGCGCTTGAAGATTGTGAAAGTTTCCAACCCTGTTCCATTAGGTCTGTTCTTTCCTCCAGGTTCATGCAGTCTGGCACTGCCTTCTTTCCTGTTGCTCTTTCAGGATTAGTTGTATTAATTATATTTTCCTATTATATGTGGTTTTAGGAGAATATCTCTGTCTCACCTCTCATGCCACCATCTTTAATCCTATTTCCTCAAATGTTTTTTAAATAATGAAATTTTAGATACAAATAAGACACTATGTTTGGTACAGTAATTTCTAAGAGATTTATTTAAAGTTTATGTGTGCACTAAAAAAATGTTTTGGTTTTTTTCCAATTGTGTCTCCTTTACCTTTGCTTTGTTCAGTGGAGTAGGGCGAAACTGGGGCTGGGCATCTGCAGGTAGCAGCATTCTTGCTGAATTTGGTACACTACATATGGAGTTTGTGCACCTCAGCTACTTGACAGGGGAGCCTGTTTACTACAAAAAGGTTAGTTTTCATGCCTTTTTTTCTTTGTTACAGTCTTTTGTGATTTACCAGACTACTCGATTAATGCTTAGAAAATGTTTGCCTTTCTGGAGATATGTTTACAAGGACTTGCACCTTCTTTTTCTTTTCAAATTATAGAAAGTAGTGTTCTTTCTGTTTAGAATGTATTTAAAATATTTACTGTTATAAGTAACTACTAGTAGGTTTTTTAAAAATTCTGCTGCTGTCTCTCTTCAGCATTGTGGTGATGAAGTTCATAGGCAGAATGGTAAGATGAGAAAAAAATAAAAGAAACAAAAAGCTCAAGAATTGAATTGACTTAGAAAGGAAGAAGGAAAACAATGATTTATTCACATATTACATGATTATCTACCTAACATATTAAGACAATCTACATTTAAGCTATTAAAAATAAGAATATATTTTTTGAATAACAGATTAATATACATTTTAAAAATCAGTAACATTTCTCTGCATCAGCTACAATAGGCAAGAAAGTATCACTTTATAAAAATAGAAGTTATGCAGTATGAACAAAAGTGTTGTTTCCTACAAATAAATCTAACAAAAGATAAAGTAAAAACTACTGAATAATGTTGAAGACAGCCTTAATAAATGGAGAGATGTGTCATGTTCACATATGAACAATATCATAAAAATTTCAACCATCTCCAAATTGATCTGTAGCATCAAGTCAGTACCAATCCAAACTCCTGTGGCTTTTTTTTATTTTTTAATGAAACTTGACAAGATCCCTCTAGAATTTATATAGGAGAGAAACATTCAAGACACTCCTGAGGAAAAACATGTTGGATGGATTTGCATTACCCAGTTATCAACACTTACAGTGAAGTATTGGTGCATAGGAACAAACTGATAAAATAAATAGCCCTTAAACCAACTCTTATGTATGTGAAATGTTATGACAGGGGTAGTCTATGGGTTATAACAATTAATTCCAGGGGCAAAGAAGACTTAAATTTACAAGATAAATCTAGTAAAGTTGAAAATACATACACCCTATCACCTAGCAGCTCTACTCTTTGATATGTATATTTACATCATATACATAGAGGCATTGTTGTAGAAATTTACTAAAATTCAATACAGCAGTGGAAATATAGTCATACTCATCATTAAGAGGTATGATACAACTTTTATAAAAAGCTCAAAACATTCAGAACTGAACAATATATTGTTTAGGGATTCAAGAGTGATTTTAATAGAGTTAAGGTAACATGAAATTCAGGACTATGAATACATCTAGGACAAAGTCAGTGGTATATGAATGGATAGTAGTAAAGAGCAAAGGTGTTTGTAGTGTTGTATTTCTTAAATTGGAGCCTGAATAGAATCTGTCTATCTACCTTTCTGTACATGAAATATTTCATCAATTGAGAAGACTTTTCAGGTATGGACAGCAACATGGAGCCAGATCACAGAATTTTCCCCTTCCTGGCCAAATGAACAATAAAAACAAAAATAGTAAAGTCCAGCAAAAATTCATCAATAACAATGGAAAAGGAAAGGCTGGAACCTCATGTCATAAGCATGTGACAGCCAAAAAAATGAAGCAAAAACTTTCTGGCATAGTACTCAAGTCTGTTTCCCACCCTGTCTTGAATCCTTAATAGGCAAAGAAAGCATGCCAATAAATTCCTGGTACTCACTGTTAATCTCACAAGCAAGACCTGTGCCTAGGGTGTCCAATATACAACTGCCCACAACACTAGAGGAGTTCTCACCTTCATCCTTCCTGAATACATAAGTTTCAGGAAGTCAGTAGACTAGTACTGCAGTTCTCAAATTGTGCCTGAGAGGGGAGGAATACCAACACACACACACAGTAGGAATGAATTCAAGGACAGTTCACATATACTTGATCAAAGCAGAGTTCAGTTCAGAGCTGACCCTCTTAAATGTGAGCAAGAAGAAAAGAGAAAGCATGGTAATTATGTACACACTGCAGAAAACAAAGTCATGTGGTAAATAGCATGTAAAGACTGGTAAAGAACCCAGTTTCAAATTTTATAAAGTCACCATGAACAATTTATACTGTAGTAGAATTGAATTCAGTAAAACTAGAACTCAAAACAATAAAATATACAAAGAGGTTATAGAGCTTAAGAAACAAATTGAGACCTTAAGCAATATTCCTGTAATGAATAAGTAAATGAAAAACTACAACGAACTGACTAGGTACTAGTTGAAAACTGAATTACTGATGTGGAATAAAAGCAAGAGATAATCATGGTGAAAACAAGGAAAAGTGTAAAGAGATTGAAAAGATGATAAATGTGTAAAACAAAGATGACCTAGCATACAATACTTCTGAAGTGGAGGACCTAACATGTTGGAATCACCTCAAAGCAGTAGCAAGGAGGAGAAACAGAACTGCCTATTCCATTTTTAACAAAATTAAGAGGTACTTGATACTCCACATCACAAAATTAGGTATAAAAGGTGGCATAAGGAATCAAAGTCAGAGAGAGGTTTGGGAAATCAAAGAGAGGCTGTTGTGGCTACAGATTTCAAAAATAAAAAATCAGTAGAGCACAGTTCTTTAAAATAAGAGCTAGATATTAAGATGCAAAACCAAAATACTGATTAGCAACAGAGAATAGAGTCACAGGCTGAAGATGGATGCTTCTTTGGGCCCTACTAATCATAATGTGTTGAGAAGTTAGAAAAAGAGGATTCAGTGAGGAATCTGAGACAAGCTATAGTTGTGCCTGCAAACTTTGGTGATGAAAGAGGAAGAATGACATTTTCACTTTCATGAACCATGCTGTATTTTTAGTCTCAGCTGTCTGAGCGGAAGCAAAGGCTAAAAAAACAAATTCTCAGATGAATTCTACCTGGTCTTTTATATCAAAACTCCTGTGAATAACTGGTTTGAGAAAAATAGCAATGAGTAATTCATCAAGTAAGAGCAATTGTAGAATTAATAAAAAAATTACCAGAAAAATAGGAAAGCATATGAAAAATAAATGATGGCCAAAAGATACTTATCAGATAATAATTGAAAATCCTGACCAAACATTACCATCTTGAAAGAGATGATAGTGAAGCTCTCATCTCTGTAAAACAAGTACATAAACAGAGAAGTAAGTGCTCAGAGACAGTAAGATATGATTATCAGTAACAAAGTATAAGAAAAAATCAAAAGTTATTATCAAAATAAAGACCAAATGGAAGCAATACAAAGAAAGTGTTCAGAATATAGTAAGGAACTTAGAGGACAGTTGAGAAAAGTTAGTAAATGTGTGGAAATAAGAGAGACCAAGAAATTTAGAAAGGAAGTAATAGATGTGGAAGGGAGGCAGAGAGGATTCAGTGAATGCGTAATTTTCAGAAGACAAAAGAATGCAATTTTTTCATCTTTCCTGACTTCATTATCAACTGACTAAACCTGGTTCATGGAATTATTCAGACTGAGATCATTATACATAAAGTTGGTCTCAAACATAAAAGAAAACAGGTAAGATAGCATCCCTGAGCCTGTTCTGGTACTTGATGACAAAATCCAGCTACATGAAAGATGACTGGAAACTTTTGGTAGAAGGATTTTATCCTCAAGTTCAGAAAATACAGAAATATATAAAAGGTCCTACGAAAAAAAAGTTTCCACAAGTCATTTATACCAGTCAGGTTATATCTTCCAGGTGTAAAGATAACATTCAAACAAATATGAATACAAGGAATATAACATTTTTGAACATTTTTTTTAAGCACTTAAAAATCCATCCAATCTAGAGATAAATCAAATAAAGTCCCTGAGAAAGCCTTCAGCTTCTTAATAAATTTCTTCCTCTTTAAATTCAGAGAGATCTTTTCGGCAATTGAAATTTTTGGAATTTTAGGAATTTAGGGATATCTATTGTGGAATCAGTGTTTAAATTTCAGCAATTTTTGCTTCATTTACTTTTTCATCTATTAGATTCAAATTAGTTTCATACTTTTTATTACAAACTTCCTGTGTCCATTTCTATGAAATTATTTCTTATAGATATATACCTACTGAATATCTCTGGAGTGATGTTTATCACTGATGTTTCTGATGGCTATTTCTGGATAGTAAAATGTTGAGATTTAAATTGGTTTCTCTCTGTGCTATTTTCTTTGTATTTTTATTGTTGCTTGATTTTCAAATAGTGATTACATATCATCTTATAGATATAATGAGTCACTTAAAATATAGAAGCCTTTCCAGACTACAACACACACACACACACACACACACACACACAAAGGTGGCAGATATGGTGTAAGTTCTGAGGAAAAAATACAAAACCTAGATCAATGTAAAACTTTAATGATGTGTATTTTTGTTAATTGTGTTTTTAATTTAATTTTGTGTAGGTCATGCACATTCGGAAACTACTTCAGAAAATGGATCGTCCAAATGGTCTTTATCCAAATTATTTGAACCCAAGAACAGGTCGCTGGGGTCAATGTAAGTATTTCTAGTACAACTGGTGCTTTGTTAAAAGACTCTTTGTCTGAAAACTTTTGCCTGATATGGTGAAGAGTACACTACATGTAGAGTTGGATGCCCTCAGTTAGTGTCTGATTCTGTGATCTACTAGTGCCATTGCCTTTGGCAAGTTTCTAATCTCTTATAACTTCAGTCTTTCTACTGGTAAAATGGAAAACATTAATAACTTGTCTCACAAGAGCATTTTATTTCATTTATTTCAATATTTAATGAATATTTCGTTAAAATACAATGCAGCATTTGTGAAGGGTTGTACTTTAAGCACATATAAATCATATCTTCATGTAAATGAGAGCATTGCTTGGGACAGATCTTTATTAAAGGAACATGAAGAACAAATGAGTATCTTAAAGGACTGGAAATTGGGATAATTGCTCTTGGACAAGCAATGTCCAGTCACGCTTTTTAAAAGAAGGTATCAGTGTCTATTAATTACCAGGCTCTGTGCCAAGTTCTTGGATGAAACTGAAGATAGGGAAAGAATATATAGGATTTGATTTGAATTCAGGGAACTCCCAGGCTATCAGGGTAGACAGGCACACTTAGAATATAATGTGATAAATGTTATAATAGAGGAATATACCAATTGTTATGTGAGACAATGGTAGAAGTGATCCCTTCTGTTGGAGGAGCAGATATGTTGTTTGGGGAGAGGGTGATTTTCTCACTAGAGCATTAGAATTGATCTTTGAATGAATCAATTTCTTTAATAATTTTAAATATTTCTGAGGAAATGTGGAACTTAAATAGAATTTGAATAAATTATGAGTTTGTCAGTTCTTTCTTAAAAGACAGAAACACTAAAATGCATAGTAGAAATCATGACTTGTCTTTGCCCCTAGTCTGACATGTTTAGATTATTTTTGAGACCAAAAAAATAACAATGAAGTAGTAAGAAATAGGGGAAAGTAATAATCACTTAATTTTATGTATGAAAAACACTGTTGAATCTGGCAGTGAGAAATTATGTTGTTGTTTGCTACCAAGAGTATGGAAACATTTGCCATGGAATTTTTGGCAATTTCCTCCCAAGGAACTTGCCCTTTATTTTATGAAAATAAAGCAGATTGCTCAGTAGAGTTATTTGTTTCTTGGATCTGGGACTAAGATCTCAATCTTTTTGCTCCTCTTATATACTTCTTTTCCTCTCCTGAAATTCTGATAGCGAATTTTTCTCTTTATTTTGAAGAAAATATAAGGTATAATGTCTATGAACTCATTGAAAATGATACTTTCTGAAAAAACAAAGTCCTGAGCAGCATTTCTAAAATATAAAAAGTCACTTTGGTCATTCCAGCTAAAGATGACCAGTTTAGATGTCTACTTAGTAATTTCAGTGAATTTTTTGGTAATTTTTTCCCCTTAGAGTTTTATTAAGATTTGGCAGTATTCTAACACTGGGGGAAAAAATGTGTTCAGCTCCATCCTTACATGCCAGCACAGGCAGACCTCATTTTATTGTGCTTCACTTTATTACACTTTCCAGATAATTTGTTTTTTTACAGATTGTGTTGGGGCAACCCTTTGTTAAACAAGTCTATCAGCACCATTTTTCTAACAGTATTTGCTCATTTCATGTCTTGGTCACATTTTTGTAATTCTAATCACATTTCAAATGTTTTCATTATGTTTGTTATGGTGATTTGCGGTCAGTGATCTTTGATGTTGGAATTGTTTTGAGTGCCATGACGTTGCCTATATAGGAAGATGAACTTATTTGGTAAATAATGTGTGTGTTCTTAGTGTTTCATTGACCAGCTGTTCTCATCTCTCTCCCTTTCCTTGGGCCTCCCTGTTCCCTGAGACACAACAATATTGAAATTAAGCCAATTAATAACCCTCCCATGGCCTCTAAATGTTCAAGTGAAAGGAGGAGTCACTAGTCTCCCACATTAAATCAGAAACTAGAACTGATTAAACCTGGTGAGGAAGGCATGTTGAAATATGAAATAGGTCAAAAGCTAGGCTTCTTGTGCCAAACAGTTAGCCTAGTTGTGAGAGCAAAGTTGTTCTTGAAGGAAATTAAAAGTGCCACTCCAGTGAACATATGAATGATAAGAAAGCAAGACAGTTTTATTGCTGATATGGGGAAAGTTTTAGTTGTCTAGATAGAAGATCAAATCACCCACAACATTCCCTTAAGCCAAAGCCTAATCCAGAGCAAGATCCTAACTCTCTTCAATTCTATGAAGGCTGAGAGAGGTGAGGAAACTATAGAAGAAAAGTGAAGCTAGCAGAGATTAGTTCATGAGGTTTAAGGAATGAAAATACCTTCATAACATAAAAGTGCAAGGTAAAGCAGCAAATGCTAATGTGGAAGCCACATCAAGTTATCCAGAACATCTAGCTGAATAATTTAGCATCAGAGGACAAACTGACTTTCTTGTTAGGAGCTAATGCAGCTGGTGACTTTTAAGTTGAAGCCAATGCTTATTTAGCATTCCAAAAACCCTAGTGCCCTTAAGATTTAAGCTAAATTTACTCTGTGCCCAAAAATGTAACCACAAACTCTTTCTGGACAGTATGTCTGTTTAGACTTACAACATGGTTTACTAAATATTCTAAAGCCCACTGTTGAAAACTGCTGAGAATAAAAGCTTTCTGTCAAAATATTACTGCTTATTGGCAGTGCAACTGGTCATGCAAGAGCTTTAAGGAAGATGAACAGTGAGGTTCATGTCATTTTCATGCCTTATAAACACAATATCCAGTCTATAGGCTATGGATTAAGGAGTAGTGTTGCCTTTCAAGTCTTCTTTAAGAAATACATTTCATAAGGCAGTGTGAGTAGGGCAGTGGAAATCCCCTCCCAAAACCATGTATATTTTTGAAAATACAACAGATACAACTATTCCTTAAAGAGAGACCAGAAGATACAGTACAACAGCCAGGCTACAGCTACACCTGTGAGAACCCAGCGCCTCACAAAGGGGCAGCTGTGCAGAGCCTCCTCTGCAACCACCAGGACCAGACTCAGAGACCCCGTTGGCGTGCAGCTGCCCAGCACAAGCCTCTAGGGGCTGCTGTTCTCGCAGGAGAGGAAGGCAACGAGCAAGCGGGAAGGGATTTTGTTCTCCCAGCTGACACACATGCCAACTGCCTACAACTACCTCTATCGCCATGAAAAGGCAGAAGAATTTGATCCAGACCAGAATCACACAGACATCCCCTGAGAGGGAACCTGGGGAGATAGATTTAACCAATATTCCTGAAAAAGAATTCAAAATAAAAGGTCATAACCATGCTGATGGAGCTGCAGAGAAAAATGCAAGAGCTAACGGATAAAGTTGGGAGGGAGAATACAGAAATAAAACAATTTCTGGAAGGACTTAAAAGCAGACTGGATGAGGTGCAAGAGGCCATAAATGGAATAGAAATCAGAGAACAGGAATGCAGAGAAGCTGACGCAGAGAGAGATAAAAGGATCTCCAGGAAGGAAAGAATATTAAGAGAACTGTGTGACCAATCTAAACAGAACAATATCCGCATTATAGGGGTACCAGAAGAAGAAGAGAGAGAAAAAGGGATAGAAAGTGTCTTTGAAGAAATAATTGCAGAAAACGTCCCCAAACTGGGGGAGGAAATAGTTGCTCAGACATAATCCCAACAGAAGGGACCCAAGGAGGACAACACCAAGACACATAATAATTAAAATGGCAAAGATCAAGGACAAGGATAGTGTATTAAAACAGCTAGGGAGAGAAAAAAGGTCACCTACAAAGGAAAACCCATCAGGCTATCATCAGACTTCTCAACAAAAACCTTACAGGCCAGAAGAGAATGACATGATATATTTAATGCAATGAAACAGAAGGGCCTTTAACCAAGAATACTGTATCCAGCACAATTATAATTTAAATACGAAGGAGGTATTAAATAATTCCCAGACAAGCAAAAGTTGAGGCAATTTGCCTCCCACAAACCACCCCTACAGGATATTTTAGAGGGACTCCTCTAGATGGAAGCATTCCTAAGGCTAAATAGATGTCCCCAGAGAAAATAAAATCATAGCAAAGAAAGCAGACCAACCAAATACTAACTAAAGGCAAAAAATAAAATCAAGTACCCACAAAAGCAGTCAAAGGAAACACAAAAGAGCACAAAATAAAACACCTAACATATAAAGATTGGAGGAGGAGGAATAAGAAGGGAGAGAA